TGAGTTAGCTGCTACAGGACCTCCCATCAAGGGAGAGTACCTCACTGCGTCCTGTGGGTGTGCTGTGTTTCCTGACTCACATATTTCTAAGTGACTCTGATGCCAACTGCAGCCTAAGGTGGTTTTATGCATTCAAATGTTTGGTTTAGGCTACCCTGGTGGATACTGCAACATATCAGTGAGAATAATTAGCTTTTGTTTAAGGTCTCAGCTAATGATGTTTTGAAGAATTGCAGGAAATGCCAAGGTAGTATTTAGTGCTTATCTCTCAGGAGATATTACTGCTCTCAAACTTTGAGCATATAGCCGACTTTGAAAGTGGTGAGAAGCTGGGCACATAGAGAGCTAGGGGTCTGGAAGAACAGAAATGCGGCACAGGCAAAATTGTGAGAGGCCTTGAATATTCTACCACGTGGTTTAGATTTTATACTGTAGGTAAAGTGGAGACACAAAAGGTTTTGAAGCAGGATAAAATATCTACTCAGTGAAAATTTAGGAACATTTGTAGATTTAGTTGTAGGTGATATGTATAGTTGTCTTAGTCAAATTATATATTCTTACTTGCACCAGCAATAGCAAATGTTATTTGAACATCACTTCTTATTTAAATGATAATAATGAATAAATATTAGTACTTAGTGAGTGCCTATCACGAAGCACCATAGTTAAGTTTTCATTTTTAATCTTCATAAAAACTACACTAGGTAGATACTATTATTATCCTTATTTTATCTGTGAGGAAACTTAGAAAGGTTAAGTAATTTGCCCAATAAAATAAATGGTAGAGTTGGAATTTGAACCCAAACTCTTTGACCTGAGATCCTAAGTATTCAATACTTTCAAACATGGAAAATATAGGAAATTAATTTTTAATAAAGAAAAGGTCAAATATTTGTGTTTTTATACAGATACCACTAAAGTGCAGATAATTGTGTTATTGTTATTATTACTTATTAGACATTACATATGTCTCATTTATTTCACATAGAGGCTTTGTAAATAGATCTTATATTGTCCACTTTAGAGATAAGGAAGCTGGAACCTAGAAATGCTAATAAATTGTTCAAAATCAAATGGATGGCAGAGTCAGGAAATAAACCCAGGTCTGTTCCAATTAGAAAAGTCACACCCTTTCCCCCACACCAAGCTGCTTTCTGGGTGCCCCGCATGTTATAGGTGCTTCGTCAATGACTGACAAATCGATTTCTTAAATTGCTACGGATTTTCACAGTTTGCTTTTATACTTTCAAAATATTATACTTTAAAAGAAAAATGATTTTATTTAAATGAATGACTTCTGTTCTATAATAAATTGTGTGTGTGTGTGTGTGTGTGTGTGTGTGTGTGTGTGTGGTGTACCGCAGTGCCCAAAATTTCTTCTTAGTCAACATTGTAGAAATTGGAACATATTTTTTGATAGAAACAATGTTTTAAGTTATAGTTCTAATATTCCCTCAGAATAACCTAGTTCATGGATAATATGTGTAAAGAATAGAGCATGTTTAATCTCCCTCTCCTGCTGGAGTTGCTGTCCTGATGGTCTGGCAGGGAGAATCTCTACCTTGTCTTTTCTGGTGTTTCTCAAAGTGTGGGGCTCGAACAACCTGCTTCAGAACCAATTGGAATGACTGTCAAAATGCTGATTCCTGAACTCCATCCTAGACCCACTGCGTCTCTGTTGGTGCCTGGAGCCTGCATTTGTAACAAGCATCCCAGGTGACTGTTCTGCATGCTGTGGGTTGATAACTTACTGTTCTCAGTCAGGGTTCTCCCAACTCAGGTGCACATGTTGTAAGGTAGTCCAAGGGATTCAGGGAACAATACTAGAACTTTCTAGTTACATTTATTTTATCTCATTAAAAAATTTCAATTTTAGTATATTTTACAATATTTATAATGTATTAATAATACATGAATATGTCTATTAACAAAAATATACATATATCAGGGCATAGACTCACTTTTTAAAAACTGGTGTGGTGTAAAGAAAAAGGCAAAACAAAGCAAAACCTCAAAAAAAGCCCCAAAAAACTAGACAGTACTGCTCTAGAGAATTCACTTTTCAGCAACCCTGGATTGGGAAACAAAGCACACTTATCACATAAGTCATTGTCTCTTCTGTGATATATGTATGTGGACCATTTGTAAGTTACATTCTGCTTAAAAGCAGTGAGACTTTGTGAGGTTTAAACCATTTTTTGAAGCAATCATATGATTTCCGTAAACCATTTAAATGTAAAATATACCCAGTTTCAGTAAAATACATTTAAAACATTTTAACTGCTGTCCCTTTCCCCCCGCTCCCTCCAAGAATGCCGACATCGTCCTATAGCGAGATAAGCAGTCATGTGAAATGCTGAGTGTTTGAGCCGAAATATAGAACTCATTTGGGTGAATAAGTAATTCACAATTAGGACATCTACCAATTTAAATAATTAACGAAGTAGAGACAGACCCTTTTATCACATGACCTGTAATTTTAACAATTTAAGAATACCATAGGTCACATAATACTGTAGAGCTTTGTGCCAAACACGGACTCAACCTCCCTTAGAGCAGAACTTTAAAATTATAATGAAGCCATACAGTGAAACTGTAAAATTATAATGGACTTCTGCCTTAATGAAGGTTAAGTTCATGCTTAGTCCATGGCTCTGCAGTGAATCAGAGTTTAAAAACATTGTCTCCCAGCTTAACTCTCAGGCCGTTGGGAATATGGTCTGGTTTCCATTCATCGCTACCATTCTACTAATGCAGTATTTTTAGATTCTTCAGTGACTTTCCTGTTATTTTCAATAGTTTTCTTTATTATTTTCTTTTTGTAGCTCCTGATAGTGTTTCTTCTTTACACTCTTTATTCTAGGTATTCATTACATGTAACTCTTCTCATTTTCTACTTTATTTCTGATCTCTGTTATAACAAGCCATGATAAAATAATATTTGCCAAATGAATACCCAGATGTCCCAACACCATTTTTTGAATAGTCCATTTTATTTCCACTGCTTCAAAAGCTTCTCTATCATACTAAAAATCTATCACTAAATCAAACTACTTCTAATTAATTCTTTCATCAGTCTATTTGTCTATTACTACACTGTTTGAAATGACTATAGCTTCATAATTTATTGTGAATTTTGATATAACATGATTTTCCTCCAGGCCTTCTTTTTCCAGAATTCTTGCCTCTTCGTTGTATATCTGTTCTAGATGAACTTTAGAAACGATTTGTCAAATTCCATTAAAAATCCTATTGGGATTATGATAGAAATTGCAATGAAATTTTAGGTTAATCTGGGGCATAATCTACATCTTTGCAAATGTGAGTTTTACTATCTGGGAATATATTAGGGTATTCCATTTATTCAGATCCTGTGGTTTTCTTCACATCACTTGTAAACCTTATATATTTTTTGTTACTTTGTTCCTTATGTATTTTATAAATTTCTAAAACAAGCTATTGTGAATGGGATTATTTTTCTTAGATTTTTAAAAACTTGTTGGTGTATAGGAAAGTTATCGATTTTTGAATGTTTAACTTGAATTTAGCCACCTAGTTTTCCAGTTGATTGTCTTGGATTATCTAGATAAGCATCGAATCTTGTGCAATAGCCCTCATTTTCTTTCTTGTCTCATTGCATTGTTTACTTCTCTGAGAAAAATGAGAATGGCTGTGTTGATATGGCAAACATTCTTGTCTTGTTCTTGATTTTGACGAGAGTGCTTCTGATATTCGGTGTTGTGTCATGTCTCTTGTATTTTTCTGAGTCTAGCTTTTATTCTGAGTCTATCTTCTATTCCTAACTTTACAAAGAGTCTATGTGATGAGTGTGTGCTGAATTTCATCTAATGTCTTTCAAGAAGATATTGAGATGATATTTTATCATTACTTTTATAGATTTTTGAAAGATGAATAATCCTCACTTTCCTGGACTAAAACCATCATTGGTCATGTTTTGCTATTCTTTTAATACACAGCTTATTTGAGTCACTAATATTTTATTTAAGTTTTTGCATTTATAGTCATAAATGATTTTGATCTGTGGTTGTGGGATTGTGTGTGTTTGTGTGCATGTGCATGCCTGCCTAGTTTTAGCTTCGGGGTTATGCTAATCTATAGAATGAACTCTAGAAGAATTTAAATAAATAAAATTTTAAGTTAAAAAATTTTTTTAACAGTGTGATAGAACTCAACTGCATAACAGTCTGAACCTTTAGGGATGGAAATATTTGACTAATTAAAAAAATTCTATCATATTGTTATTACTCTCCGAGTTGCTGCTGCTACTTTGATCAATTTTTATAGTTCTGGATTTTCCCAACAATTCATCCATTTCATTTTGATTTTGAAATATATTTACTGACTTAAAGTTTTATATAGCATTTTTGTATAGCTTTAAAGACTATCTTCCATATCAGCAGCTATGTTACCCGTTTTATTTCTAATTTTGTTTGTGATACTTCTTTTCATCTGTGGACCGACTTACCATCAATTGATCTTATTGGCTTTTTACAGACTTGATTTTTCTGATTTTTAGACTTAACTAGTTTGATAATTTCTTACTTTTTAAAATCAGTCTTCCTTTCTGGTTCCCTAGGTTATATTTTGTTGGTTTAAATGCATCTTGAATTAAAGAATTACTTCAATGATTTAAGCCTTTTTTTTTTTTAAGGAAATACTTTAAGATGACAGAAACTTCTGAATAGTACCTTGATTGTATCGCAAGTGTCTTCATTGTTATTCGTTTTTAAGAAGACTTGTGATTTTAGTTTTGAGTTTTTATTTATTCTAAGTGTTACTTAAAAGAATAGTTTTCTAAATATCTAGGTGGAACATTTTTTTTCTAGCTTTTTGTTCCTAATTGTTAGTTTTGTTGTATTTTGGGTAGATAATATAACTTGAATTCTGAAAAATTATTTCTTTTGGGAATTGTTAGGATGTAGCCTGTGGTCTAATACTTATTTTTGTTTGAGACAAAGATTCATACATATCTGTCATATTAAATTTCTTAACTATTTTTATTCTTTTTGATATTTGCATTGTATTCTAAAAATAATATATGTTCCATAATTTATTTACTTATTCTCCTAATGATGGATATCTAGCTTGTTTAAACTTGTTTTGGCCATCATAAAAAAGTTTCTGTGAACATTCTTATACATATATCTTTGGGTAAAATATGAATATTTCTGTAGGGTAGAATTCCAGAATGAACACACACACATATACTCACATATACGAACTAATTGGAATAATTAAATACATTCACAGGTTTAAATTTATCCAATAATAATATAATAATACATTCTCAATTTGTTTATATCACTGTTCTTTGGGATATTGGTTTGTTAGTCAAACTCAGTTTTAAGCGACTGTATACCAAATAACAGCATCAAATGTTTTCCTTTGTCTTCTGCCCTTCCCGTTCACCCAGGCCCAATTTCTATTAGTTTAATCTAAGATTCCAGATTTTTAAAAAACATTTATTCTCTTTCAAGAATTATATTTAACATTTTCAAGGATTTGGATAATATTTACAGTAATTATTTTGACTTAGCGTTCTTTAACTGGTCTCTTGCATACCACCAGTTTTTTTCAATCATAAGTTCTTCATTTCTAGTCCTCATTTTGATTTATCTCTTGGTTTGCTAAATTATTATTTCCCCAATATCACGTGCCTTCACCTGGATACTTATGAACGGCATATATATGAATGGCATCTCTGTTGATACTTATTTATTTTTTATTACCTTAAAAATTTTTTCTTTCCATGCTGTGCCACTGTCTTTTCATTCCTTCCCTCCTGAGGAAGTAATTCTTCTTCATTTTTTTTTCTTTTTTTTTAAATTCAGGTCGAATTTATAAGCATTCCCAGCATCCTTTGATTACATATGAAAAACATGATGTGACAGACCATCCAAAGAATGTAGGAGGATCCCGTTCTTTACTCCTTCTGAAGGCTCATGGTAAGTTACATGTAAAATACTACTACTATTTTGTGGAATAACCTTGCTTGATGACTCAGTGCTGGCTGGGGGGATGGTGGTGAACATGGTTTAGCAAATGTACATACATTTTCTATGTTTAAACATTAATACTTGTAGGTAGCAGTGTTTATCTTAATGACTGTTAATTTTTATTAGAAATGGAGAATAGGAATAATTCAGTGGATTTAAGCCTGCCGTACACTAAAATCACCAATGGAGCTTTTAAGACAACTATCATTTTGAAGAGTATCCTCATTGTTTCTAACTGTAGCCAGAGTTGAGTAGCACTGGACTAATTAATTTAACTTTTATGAGGCCTTAATTATGCCATTTATTAAAATAAATGCTAATAAAAGAGCAGTTTGTGATTTTGATTGTTTATCCGTAGGTGGGTTTCAAAGATACAGTTTGTTGTTGAAGAACCGATCAATGTATGAGTATATGTGGGTTTACTAAGTACTCAGTGCCATACTTAGGTATCATGTGCTTAAAATGGTGAAAGGGAGAGCAGTAGCCCAAAAGAGGGCTCTAATGTGCTCTGGTTCTACGGATGAAGTAGATTCCATCTGAAAAGTAGCTCAGCTTACTGTTGAAATATGGGATTTAGAAGTAGAGGAATAATGTAGTATATACAATCAATGTAAAATACTAATAATTGGGGGAATTTTCCTTATTTGGTATATTTCCTTTAAATTCTTCAGTTATCCATTTTAGTAGAGTTTCAATAAATGTTATCTTAGTTAAGCTTGAAAATAACTTTATTGTTGCTAATTTGTTTCTACTAGTAGAAACTGGAAAGTCGAAAGTAATTGAATTCAGAAATAATGTACCTATGCTTTCTTTGAATTGTTTTTTGGAGTGAGATGTGAGAAGATTCTGAGATAACTGCAGGCTGTGTTAGTATGAAGGTTGAGAGCACAGTTGCCCAAGCCAGAATGGGTTCAAACCTGAACTTTGTAACTCGAACGAGTTACTAAATTTCTCTATTGCCTTAGTTTCCCCTCTAGCAAAATTAGAGTAATGATTGTAACCACTTCATAGGATTGTTGTGAAGATCAATTAAATTAATACATGCAAAGTGCTCAGAGACAGTGCTGACACACAGGAGGAGCTATGGTAGTGTTAGCTATTAGAAGTAGTAGTGGTGGCGGAAAAGCAATGATACATGGGGTGTTTTTAGGTTATGCTTCTATCAGTCGAATGTATTTCACTGGTTGTTTATATTTTCTGAGCACTTGGCTTGCTCATTTATAAACGTCTAAATTAGTTTGTGATGTTATCCATTGTATTTTCTTACCGGTAGGTGCCTTAATGTTTGTGGCATGGATGACTACTGTTAGCATAGGTGTAATCATTGCCCGGTTCTTCAAACCTGTTTGGTCAAAGACTCTCTTTGGTGAATCAGCTTGGTTTCAGGTAGGTGGGAGAAAAAGTTTAATGCAATTTCCATATTATTTGAACATTGCAACATGGAAACATGAAGTGTATGTTTCTTTCCTTTTTTTTTTTTGAAGTTATAGTTGTTGTAGTTTTGGAATCCTAGTAATTTCTTCTTTTCACCTGTTGGCTCCCTAACCAACTGAGAATAGATACAAAATACTTGGTGGAGATCAAAATAGAGACAGCTTTTTGAAGGATCAGGTTGGATTGGAGAATTTGCCAAGACCTTTGTAACAGACTTTGGGACTCAAACGATCTTGACTTACACGTCTAGTTACAGAAGGAGAGACTAGAAGAGCATTCACCCACTGCACCGAATACAGATGGGTCAAGGAAGGCAGGAGAGCAGAAGAAATAGTGGGTGCTTACTGTATTCCAAGCAGGGGTCTGTCCTCTGTTTGAATGTCAGACTATCCTGAGCTCACCAGTCAGGATCATCTATCTCCTATGTGGGCAGGAAGAGAAACTAGAAGTATTTCTTTTCATGTTGCCCCTTTGCATGGGATTAGGAGGCAGTCTTTTATTAGAAACATGAACAAGGGTCAGTAAGTACCTCTCAAAACAAAGCAAAACAAACCTTATCTTTCATGTGTCATGGAGTATAGATATTTGCATAAGTAGTAGGTCAATGAATATGTGTTAAAATAGAATGTGCATGTTGCTTGTAGACAAATACTGCTTATTGGGACAATTTATGACTTTATAAGAGGATATTCTTGAAACTTGATAGTCAAATAAATTTGTAGCTTTTAAGATTTACCTTATCTAACCCGTTTCTCACTATTGGCTGGTAGGGTCCATCTGTCTTATCTGTGACCTGCCTTGCTTCTCTCTCTCTCTCTCTCTCTCTCTCTCTCTCTCTCTCTCTCTCTTTCCACCTCGTTCTCCCCCTACAAACACACACACATATGTGGATATTCCCAACTGGAAAACTCTTTATGTCTTCTCTCTATCAAGTAAAATCTTCCATTTCCTTTAAAACCATGTATATGGTGACTGTATGTCCTACTTTCTCTGGTATAGTCTTGGTGTGCACCAGTTTCCTGGCATAATCAATCAAAAGAGCCCATTTTCACTTTCAATATCCTGATTTGGACAATGAATTATACATTTCCCATGTTTCTCTTATCTACTAGTTATATCCCAAGCTCCTCAGAGGACAGTATTTTTTGTTTCTTTGTTGTCTCCTTGTATGTGGTGTATAGCACTGTACTTGGTGGTAGAACTTAATAAATATCTTTGGAAGGAAACGATGGACTTGCCAAGTGGTTGTACTGTGTATGAAATATACCGTCCTGCTGCTCCGTGCTGGTGAAATCTTGGCAGATGCTTTTGAGTGATGAGAATGGCAGCTTAAATTTTTCTTTAAAGTTCAGTGGTATACTAAGATTTTGTTTTAACGGACCACAAATTTTGATTAGAAGTCAGTTGAATGCGTGCTGCCAGGGAATCTCATCTCATGATCTTTGTCCCGTAGTAACTAACGCCAACTCCCTTCTCTTCCTGAGTTCACTCTCTCCTCACTTTGTCATTTCACCCGTGCAGGTGCATCGAATGCTCATGCTTACTACTTCTGCCCTCACCGGCATCGCTTTTGTTCTGCCTTTCATTTACAGAGGAGGCTGGAGTTGGGTAAATATATTTTAAACAGGATGTTTTAATATAAATTCATTTTGATGTTAAAAGAGATTGCTGTTTTATTCTCAAATCATGGGTAAAAAGATATTTTTGCTCGTATCCCTCTTTCTTTTTTCTTTTTCTTTTTTTGAATTGTCTGATGAGTTTTTCACATGGTTGGGAGTCAGGGGATGGAGTAAATGTGTCAATGCAGATTACTTGGTATTGAAATGTATTTTTAGGTTGCATCAAATGTTATGTATCCTCTATATAGTTTAGTGAGTTTTCTCACCAGAGAGTGGTGAAAATTGAAAGTGTGATATCTAAGGAACGTGAACACTAGAGCTGATTTTCTCTGACGGATACTGTGATTGCCACTAAGCCAACATTAGTTGCATTCCTATACGACCAGCTGTGCTAAGTCTTCTACATGTGACAAATGAAGAAATGGAGGCTTATTCTTAAATGTTTATCTCCAGCTTGGACCTCACCCCTGGCTCGAGACTCACACTCAACTCAGGAACTCAACTTGCCTGTCTAAGACGTCTCAAAATTAACATGTCCAAAACGGAATTTTGATCTTTCCTGCCAGTCCTGCTTCAGCTGCCGCCATCCCCATATCAGCTGTTGGCAGTTCAGTGGTATACGAAGGCTAAAGCCTTGGAATTATCCTTAATTCTGCTCTCTTGTACACCCCATATCAGAGCCATCAGGAAATCCCATTGGCTCTACATTTAAAATACAATACTCTCACCATCACTGATAGTACTGTGTGGGTTTGAGCCACCATCATCTTTTGCTTGGACTATTGCAGTGGGCACCTAATTGGTCTCTCCACTTCAACCCTTGCCCACGTACAGTCTGTTTTCCACCAAGAAGGCAGAGCGATATAAAAAGTTGTAAATCATATCATTCCTGGGTGTGCCCCAAATTGGTTTCTCTATTGCCTCTCAATTTTACTCAAAGTTAAAGTCCTTCTAATGACCTCCATGACTTGGCTCCCCGTTACTCTCTAAACTGATCTCCTCCTCTCTTTATAGCTCCTGTCATTCCACACTGGCCTGGTGCCAGGCATGCTCCTGCTTTATATATAGTCTTTGCAAAGATTCCTTCTGCCTTGGTCATACGTTCTCCACTCCTTCACCTCCTTCAAGTCTTTGCTCAAATAATAGCTTCTCAGAGAGCCCTGCTCTGCTCTGCTCTTCCCCCCAGCACTCTTTACTGTATGTCGTACCATATGATTTATTTATTATGGTTTTTCTTTCTTCTGCCTCCCCACACTAGTATCTAAGCTCTGTGTAGGTTCACTAGTGTACCTTAAATACCCAGAACAGATTCTGATACAGAGTAGGTACTCAGTAAATATTTATTGAATGAACGAATAAATGAATAAATATAAAAATAAGTAATATACTAAAGTCAGAGCCTATACTTCCATTATATTCATCCAGTTTTAGAGCCAGTCAGAATTTGATATCAAAATTTAATATTTCAGTTTGGGCTGAACTCAGGGAAACACAGAGGTCTGAAAAAATAATTACCGTACATTGGGATGCTCGCTCCTGACATGTGGATATGGACTAGTCCTGGGTGGGCTGCAGTCGGCTGTCCTGGTGTTGGTGGTCATCTAACATCCTGATGGGAGAGAGGCAGCATTCTGTACATGGATTCCACCACAACCATTTACACACTGTGTGGCCTTGGACACCTTCCTTGATGTCTCTGAACCTCAGTTCCTCCCCATGTTAAAGTGAGTTCTTCATAACCAACTGTGAAGCATCACAGTGAGCTATAGTGATATGTGTAGAGTATGCACCTGGTTTAAAGTAGATGCTCAGTGGATGGTGCATGTCATATCGTCGTCGTCATCGTCGTTGTCATCATCATCATCACCATCATCATCAAATGTTTAAAACTATAGAAAAACATTAAGAATATATATATATATATATATGTGTGTATTATTTTTAACTTGAGGATTTAAGTTGATGAGATTGAGACCATTAAAATGATGTACCTTTCTTTAGCATGCTGGTTGTCACCCATACCTTGGTTGTATAGTGATGATTTTAGCAGTTCTTCAGCCTCTGCTGGCAGCCTTCCGGCCACCATTGTATCACCAAAGGTACTTACAGCTTTTATAAATAAGTGTTGTTAATGTGGATATCATTAATTGGCGAAGTAGTCCCTTTTCAAGTTGAAACATTTTGTGTTTTATAAAATTCAGTGATAAATTCTATTTACTTAAAAGGCTTTAAAATGTATTTCAGATATATAATTCCTAGGCAATAGGGAAATTGTGTGTTCTTTATTCTCTTGGGAATTAATTGTAGTTCCATCACTTTTAAGAATACTGACTGCTTCTTTATTTTGGCAGAAGGGAATTGTTTAACTGGACTCATTGGGGTCTGGGAACAGCTGCTAGAATAATAGCAGGTAAGTAATTGTGTTGCCACTTATTCATATATAATTGCTGGTTGCTCATATTGCAAGTTGTAATTTGGCTTAAATGATTTTTAGATGTATTAGTAATTGGAGTAATTGGTTATTGAGGAGAAATCAGCCTTAAACATTGAAATCCAGAAAGTAATTTCTAGAGGTAACTATTTAAGACATTATTTCAGTTTTAAGCATAAAGTTTTTAAAATGACTTTAAAATTCTCATTTTAAGACATTTTTTTTAGCATTTGTTTTTGCAAGTAGAAGGAACTGTGCTGGCAGCCAACTATTTAAGTAGCTCAGGTTGAGGGTCATTTGTGAGTTGTGCTGAGTGGGCTGAGGAGTAGGGGTCCCAGCCCTCTGTCTCCAGGTGCTTTCTACGGGGATGGTGCCTTCCAGGGAAGGCTGCTTTGCAAAAGTCAGTCATGATTTTTCAATATATTGGATGCCTCATATAATAGAAGCCTAAGCTGGCACCTGCTCTTCTTACATTTCTATAGTCTGTGGGGTTCTTTGTGGAAAAGGGAGTACAGTCACCATTGGCTCCACACTCTTCTCCCTTCCTACATTGCAGACTTACAACTTTTGGATAGTTTGGATGCCTCTTTTTTTAACAATCGGTAGGTCATAATTATAATTTCCTGTCTTGTCCTTTCTAGTCTAATAATAAGACTAGGGGAAAAAAAGGCTAACTATTTGGTCTAAAATATTAATCAAATTCATCTGATAAACTCTTTTCATATGCTTTACTTGATATAATACACACACATATACACACACTCACAATTAACTCTCTTGGTGGTGACTGCATTTGAATATATATATTTTTCTTATCAACATAGTGGCAGCAATGTTCCTGGGAATCGATTTACCAGGATTGAATCTTCCTGGCTCATGGAAAACCTATGCAATGATTGGATTTGTAGCCTGGCACGTTGGAACTGAGGTTATTCTGGAGATACATGCTTACCGACTCTCTCGCAAAAGTAAGCCATGTTATGTAGAATCACTTTTATATAAACTATTGGAATATAATAATCGGTTTCTTAATACTGATGTTTGACTATTATATGATAGCTCACTAAACATTTCTATTGTGATTACTCAGTCAGTGGTAGAAATCGTGGCATTTTTTCCCCCTTTTTTATATTCATTAGTATTAGAAATAGTAAAATATAAGGGAAAGATTTTAGGTTTTAGGGTAGAAGTGTTCATTGTAAGTACTTTTTACTTTGCATGCTGGTCTCTCTTGGAGCCAGTGTTCACAGGGAATTCTGAATGCCTGGAGCTGAGAGAAGCCTGATATAGAGGAGGAGGAGATGCCCAAAGCCAACACAGGGAAGAGCTACAGACAAATTATTTGACAAAATTACTGTGTGCTATCACTTAGGCTGCCATATACATCAGATATAACTAGTTAATTAGCAAGCTAGATAGGAAGGACTTACTGTGCCTGAGCTCTCCAGTGGCAAGATTCATTTTGGTCATAGTTCCTGGCAGGGCACTATACCTATAGCTGTTAGAGGTAGAGAAAATAGTAGAGTATGGGTAACATTTTAAACTGGCTTGGATTCTGGGCCATGTGTCCTTTGTGTTCTATCTAGTTTTCAGCCCTCCTCACCAAATGATAAATAAAAGCGGTCTTCTAAAACAAAAGCTCTTGTCTAGTGTATATGCTGTGAATTCAGGAGCTTGTGAGGCTTTTAGGAGCTGAGTAGTAAATATCTGTCCTGCCATTTTCCCCCTGGCTTTAATGAAATATAAGAGACAGTCAGTTGCTCGTATTTACATCGTATAATTCAATGAGTTTTTTTTTTTCAATTTTAGTTGGCATACAATAATATATTAGTTTCAGTTGTACGGCATAGTGATTAGAGATCTATATAACTCACAAAGTGATCACCCCACTAAATCTAGTATTCCTCTTCCCCTTACATATTTATTACAATGTTATTAACTATTTTCCTTATGCTACCCGTTATATCTCCATGTCTATTCTGTAACTATCCATTTGTACTTATTAATCCCTTTGCCCTTTTTCGTCTTCTCCTCCAACCTCCCTCCCGACTAGCAGCCCTCAAAATATTCTCTGTATCTATGAGTTTGTTTCCATTTTGTTGTTGTTGTTGTTGTTTGTTTCTTTAGAGTCCACATGTACATGAAATCGTGATATTTGTCTTTCTCTATGCGACCCATTTCATTCAGTGCAATACCCTGTAGGTCTGTCAAGGCAATATCTTTTTCCATCCTCTTCCTTTTAGTCTGTGTCTTTTAATCTGAAGTGAGTCTTTTATAGGTAACATATATTTTCTTATCCATTCAGCCACTCTATCTGTTGGTTGGAGCACTTAATTTTTTTCCATTTGAGGTACTTGGTGATAGGAATGTAGTTATTACCATTCTTTATTCCTGTTTTTGATACATGCTTTTCTTCTTAAAGAAGTCTCTCCAACATTTCCTGTAATACTGGCTTAGTGATGATAAATTCCTTTAGCTTATTTTTGTCTGGGAAGCTCTTTATCTGCTCTTTGACACTAAAATATAGCTTTGCTGGATAAAGTATTCTTGGTTGTAGATCCTGGGTTTTCATCACTTTGAATATTTTGTGCCAAGCCCTTCTGTCCTGCAAATTTTTTTTTGAGAATCAGCTGCTAGTCTTATGGGAGCTCTCTTGTAGGTAACTAATTACTTTTCTCTTGCTGCTTTTAAGATTCTCTCGTTGTTTAACCCTTGGCCTTTAAATTATGATGTGTCTTGGTGTGGGCCTCTTTGGGTTCATCTTTTTTAGACTCTCTGAGCTTCCTGAGGTTGTTAGTCTATTTCCTTCACCAGGTTAGGGAAGTTTTCCATTATTATTTCTTCAAATAGCTCTTCAACTTCTTGTTTTCCTTCAGGTAACCCTATGACATGGATGTTTTTACATTTAATTTTGTCCCATATGCTCCTTAAAATATTACTATAGTCTTGGCTTCTTTTTTCTTGCCATTCTGATTGAGTGTCCTTGGCTTCCCCATCCTCTATATTGGTGGTTCGATCCTCTTCTTCATCCACTCTGTTGATTCTCTCTAATGTATTCTTCATCTCAGATATTGTATTCTTCATTTCTGACTGGTTCTCTAATATGTTTTACATCTCAATTTTTATGCTTTCTATCTGTTTCC